GACCACGAAGATCCATCTGCTAGCCCCGGCCCGCTAGCACACGCTAGCCGTGGCCTCTTGCTCGCCAGTGCTATAGCAACCCCCGAACTACCTCCGAACTCTCCTATTGCTGTTTACCGGACCTTATGATAACTCAGCTATACAGCTGATGCTTGCTGGACTGTTCCTTTTTACGATACCGCATCCTGTTTATGTTTAGCATCAGCCCAAACTTTGTCGCCATTACCAGCTGTTGTCTTAGCTCTCTCAAATAACACCTGTGATTGCTTTATGCCTCTCTCCCATGTCAATATGCCTTGTTTATTGCTGTTTCGGTTATTTGTTATTGTACTATTTCACTGTAGATCCCCCAGCCCAGCTCAACCTGCCATAGATTGCTCCTTTGTCCCACCCCCCATACACGAGGAGACCGACTCAATCGGTGCCTCCAGTGATGCTATCTCTTTCATCGTTACCCATCGCTTAGGTTTACCTCCACTGTACTCATATCCTTGTCTGTACATAATGCCCTGAATCTATTCAACAACGCACGGAAATCTGCACCTTTTTATCTCTGTACCCAACACACTAGAAGACCAGTACTTAAAGCCTTTAGCCGTATCCTTATTCTACTCCTCCTCTGTTCCTCTGGTGATGTAGAGGTTAACCCAGGCCCTGTAGCCCCCAGTATCACTCCTACTCCCCAGGCATGATCATTTGTTGACTTCTGTAACCATAAAAGCCTTGGCTTCTTGCACGTTAACATCCGAAGCCTCCCCCCTAAGTTTGAGTTATTCACTGCGTTAGCACACTCCGCCAACCCTGATGTTCTAGCAGTGTCTGAATCCTGGCTTAGGAAGGCCACCAAAAATTCAGAAATGTCCATCCCCAACTACAACATTTTCCGTCTCGATAGAACTGCCAAAGGGGGTGGGGTTGCAATCTACTGTATAGAGAGCCTGTAGAGCTCTATCGTACTATCCAGGTCTGTGCCCAAACAGTTTGAGCTTCTACTTCTAAAAATCCACCTTTCCAGAAATAAGTCTCTCACTGTTGCCGCTTGCTACAGACCCCCTTCAGCCCCGAGCGGTGCCCTGGACACCATATGTAAACTGATCGCCCACCATCTATCCTCAGAGTTCGTACTGCTTGGTGACCTAAACTGGGATATGCTTAACACCCCGGCCAACCTACAATCTAAACTAGATGCCCTCAATCTCACACAAATTATAAACAAACTTACCAGGTACATCCCTAAATCTGTAAATACGGGCACCCTCATAGATATCATCCTGACAAATTTACCCTCTAAATACACCTCTGCTGTCTTCAACCAGGATCTCAGCGATCACTGCCTTATTGCCTGCGTCTGTAATGGGTCCGCGGTCAAACGACTACCCCTCATCACTGTCAAATGCTCCCTAAAACACTTTAGCGAGCAGGCCTTTCTAATTGACTTGGCCCGGGTATCCTGGATGGATATTGACCTCATTCCGTCAGTAGAGGATGCCTGGTTGTTCTTTAAAAGTGCTTTCCTCTCAATCTTATATAAGCATGCCCTATTCAACAAATTCAGAACTAAGAACAGATATAGCCCCTGGTTCTCCTCAGACTTGACTGCAAAAAGTTTTGGGACACTGTAAAGTCCATGGAGAATAAGAGCACCTCCTCCCAGCTGCCCACTGCACTGAGGCTAGGAAACACTTTCACCACAGATAAATCTACAATAATAGAGAATTTCAACAAGCATTTTGCTACGGCTGGCCATGCTTTCCACCTGGCTACCACCACCCCGGTCACCAGCTCTGCACCCTCCGCTGTAACTTGCCCATGCCCCCCCCCCCCCCCCCCGCTTCTCCTTCACACAAATTCAGACAGCTGATGTTCTGAAAGAGCTGAAAAATCTGGACCCCCTACAAATCAGCTGGGCTAGACAATCTGGTCCCTTTCTAAAATTAGCCGCCGAAATTGTCGCAACCCCTATTACTAGCCTGTTCCTCTCTTTCGTAACGTCTGAGATCCCCAGAGATTGGAAAGCTGCAGCGGTCATCCCCCTCTTCAAAGGGGGTGACACTAGCTCCAAACTGTTACAGACCTATATCCATCCTGCCCTTCGAAAGTATTTGAAAGCCAAGTTAACAAACAGATCACCGACCATTTCAAATCCCACCGTACCTTCTCCGCTATGCAATCCGGTTTCCGAGCTGGTCATGGGTGCACCTCAGCCACGCTCAATGTCCTAAACGATATTATAACCGCGATCGATAAAAGACAGTACTGCACAGCCGTCTTCATCGACCTGGCAAAGGCTTTCGACCACCGCATTCTTATTGGCAGACTAAATAGCCTTGGTTTCTCTCATGACTGCCTCGCCTGGTTCACCAACTACTTCTCAGATAGAGTTCAACATGTCAAATCGGAGGGCCTGTTGTCTGGACCTCTAGCCGTCTCTATGGGGGTGCCACAGGGTTCAAATCTCGGGTCGACACTTCTCTGTGTATATCAATGATGTCGTTCTTGCTGCTGGTGACGCTCGGATCCACCTCTATGCGGACGACACCATTTTGTATACATCTGGCCCTTCATTGGACACTGTTAACAAACCTCAAAACGAACTTCAACGCCATACAACACTCCTTCCGTAGCCTCCAACTGCTCTTAAACACTAGTAAAACTAAATGCATGCTCTTCAACCGAACGCTGCTTGCACCCGCCCACCCGACTAGAATTACTACTCTCTTGGCGGGTCTGACCTAGAGTATGTGGACAACTACAAATACCTAGGTGTCTGGTTAGACTGTAAACTCTCCTTCCAGACTCACATTAAGCATCTCCAATCAAAAGTTAGATCAATAATCGGCTTCCTATTTCGCAACAAAGCCTCCTTCACTCATGCTGCCAAACATGCCCTCGTAAAACTGACTATCCTACCGATCCTTGACTTCGGCGATGTCATTTACAAAATAGCCTCCGACACTCTACTCAGCAAATTGGATGTAGTCTATCACAGTGCCATCCGTTTTGTCACCAAAGCCCCATATACTACCCACCATTGTGACCTGTACGCTCTTGTTGGCTGGCCCTCACTACATATTCGTCGCCAAACCCACTGGCTCCAGGTCATCTATAAATCACTGCTAGGCAAATCCCTGTCTTATCTAGCTCACTGGTCACCATAGCAACACCCACCCGTAGTCTGCGCTCCAGCAGGTATATCTCACTGGTCATCCCCAAAGCCAACACCTCCTTTGGCCGCCATTCCTTCCAGTTCTCTGCTGCCAATGACTGGAACGAACTGCAAAAATCTCTGAAGCTGGAGACTCTTATCTCCCTCACTAACTTTAAGCGTCAGTTGTCAAAGCAGCTTACCGATCACTGCACCTGTACACAGCCATTTTGAAATTAGCCCACCCAACTACCTCATCTCCATATTGTTATTTATTTTGCTAATTTGCACCCCAGTATCTCTATTTGCACATCATCTTTTGCACATCTATCATTCCAGTGTTAATACGAAATTGTAACTATTTTGCACTATGGCATATTTATTGCCTTACCTCCATAACTTACTACATTCGCACACACTATATATATATTTTCTGTTGTATTTTTGACTTTATGTTTTGTTTACCCCATATGTAACTCTGTGTTGTTGTTTTATCGCACTGCTTTGTTTTATCTTTGCCAGGTCGCAGTTGTAAATGAGAACTTGTTCTCAACTGGCTTACCTGGTTAAATAAAGGTTAAATAAAAATCTAGCTATTCTCTTTCCTGTGTGAAAAAACGTTTTAAGTAATTATTTGGGCTTTGGTGTGTTATCAGGGCTCCTTGATCTGAACACAGTGTGAAATAGCCTACTGTCCATAACCATGCTCTGGAGCACCACCTCTCAATAACCAATCATCTGTCTGGCTATATAGTCTACACATTTCCCTCCACACTTTTTTCCCTCCTCATTATTTTTTGTATTTTCTGTCCATTTCCTATCTTCCTCATCCCTTACTCCTCTCCTCCTTCCAGAGAGGACCCTGTCTTGGTCCTATTCACACCTTGCACCAGGCCTCTTGTCAGTGCTAAGAAAGAACACCTTCCTCATTGGCTCCCTTATTTTTACAAAAGTAATTTCCTCTGTTCAGGACCTTTCTCTTTCTCTCGTTCTCCTCTCTCCTCTCTTCTGTCTCCTCTCTCTCTCTCTCTCTCTCTCTTTTCCCAGGGGAGAAAGAGCTCAATAATTCAGTATTGGTTTAATCCCTGCCGCCTTGTCAGAGGCTACTTTGTCTGGGTTTTGTTCCTACTTTAGCAGTCTGAGCTTTTAGCCTCATCTGTAGAGCACGTCTAGAGACTCCACTCTGCTTGAGGAGCCTCACTAGTGAGAGAGCCATGTTCCTGGCTCAAGGTCAACGTGCCTTTCTAGGCATGTTCTGGTTGCCCCACTGTTCGCCCATGGCGGAACTCCCTGCCAGGATAATGATAGCTAAAGACCATGTGTATCCCATCAAGTGCCCTTGTTGCACCATTTGAATAGAGAAGGGAGAGTGTTCAAGGGGAAGCTGGATAGACCGCTGAATGCTCTACCTAAAGTGCTCTCTCCTGGTGTGGAAAGGAGGGCAAGTAGGGTAATTGTTGTTGTTAGCATCTTTAAAATGCCGTAAAATTGGAACATTGCACAAATTATAGTGCAAATTAAGACATCGGTAAAAAAATAATAGTCAAAGTTGCATTGCATGTTTAGATTCATACATGTTTGTGTGTGTGCCTATGTCTTTGGAATCATGTATGTTGATGGAAGCATAAGTGCCTAGTATGGGTGTGTTCACCTGCTGCCTGTTCTTTCGACTGTCCTCTCCAGGGTACCCTCTCTACCCTGTCTTCTTACTCTGTAATTATGATGGCTGGAGGGGAATGTCATACGTGAGCTTGAGTACCCTTCTTCTTTCTGCAGCCCCTCATCCCGTCATGTACCTCCACTGCTAGCCCTATATCTCCCTTTGTCCCCTCTTCCTCCGCCTCCTCTCCTCTAGAGGGGCACAGGAGCTAATGGAGACCCGGGGCGATGGGTGAGATGACATTTGACTCAGAGACAGGGGGATGTGTAATGGGCCTCTGTGGTGATGTACTGATTGGAGAGGTCTAACGCTCCTCTCCTCTCTCACATCCTGTCTGTCTATCTCTCCATCTTGCTGACGGAGCCCTTCTCTCCTCTTTTTTTTCTCTGATCCCTCTCTCTTTCAGATGCCAAGGAGATAGTCCTGAAGGCCCAGATTCTGGCTGGGGGACGAGGGAAGGGCGTGTTTGAAAGTGGCCTTAAAGGTGGAGTGCACTTAACTAAAGAGTGAGTACCCCACAGGAGATTGGTGGCACCTTAATTGGGGGAGAACGGGCTTGTGGTAATTGCTGGAGCGGAATAGGTGGAATGGTATCAAACACATGGTTTCCAGGTGTTTGATGCCATTCCAGTCGCTCCGTTCCAGCAATTATTATGAGCCGTCCTCCCCTAAGCAGCCTCCACTGGAGTACCCCCAACATCTGCCGCTCGCGCTAACTGGGGTGTGTGGACTGTTCAGAGTGGTTCTGTTTTATTTTCTCTTACTACTGCTTCAGAGAGATGTCCTCCTGTAGTCATAGTTTTTACAAGATCCCTCCTAGATACAGTGTTGCTTTCCCTGTGCTGCAGTTACCTAATAAGCCAAGTTTGATAATTTAGGACATGGTTTCCCAAACTCGGTTCTGGGGACCCCAATGAGTTTAATTTTTTTGCCCTAGCACTACACAGCTGATTCAAATAATAAACTCATGAAGCTTTGCTTTTTTTAAATCAGCTCTGTAGTGTTAAGGCAAAAAGCTAAATGTGCACCCCTTGGGGCCCTCAGGACCGAGTTTGGGAAACGCTGGTTTAGGGACAACAGCCCCCATTTAAACTTTGAAATAGTATCATTGGGAAATTGTGCTGTGCACACATCACTGAATTCTACTGTGGTAGGTTATTGGAATTGTGCCCTTCTGGTTGAGCACAAACATAATGTTCTCCTAACTAGCACAGCACATTGTTACATAAGGCTTATATTGGCTAGATTTTCGTAACAATCATATTTTCTATGTCCTTATATCACCTACTCTGGCCACTTACTAGAGATGTTCTGGATGCTAAAATGACAAATGTAACAAAGGTAGCAGCCATGATAAGGACTGAACTGTGATTTACGACAAATGGCTACCAAATGTATCATTGTCACCCTATTTCGGTATTTGGGATAGCCGGAAACATTTCTATGTGAGCCATCTGAAGTTGAGCCTCCCTAGACAGTGACGTGTGCACACACACTCTCCTACCATCTATCAAAGCAGAGCACAACCTCAGGCTTCATTTGTGTTCTATAACCAGAGCAAAGCGAGAGCTGGAATTAGACGCTCACTCTGCCTTTAAAGAGCAGCTGAAATCAGGAGAGCCATATTCAAAGAGATGTGTAGACATATTGAAGATCCTCCAAAAACAGTGCTTTGTCAGAACATGTTACAATCATGCTGCAAATGTGCTGAACCATGTCTTTGTTGAAATGAAAAAGGCTCTCAGGAGCTGAAAATAATTACTCTGTCTATTCTCTGCCACAGTGATAGTCCTCTATTTTTGAAAGATGTTTGTCCTCTAGGTTTTTGTTCTTGTTTAGTCTCTATTCAAATATCTATTAATGGAGTAGTTGTAATTGAGCCAATCCTGTCTCTTCTTTGACTTTAGCCCCTCGGTGGTGGGTGAGCTGGCCAATAAGATGCTAGGCTATAGCCTGACCACCAAGCAGACTCCAAAGGAGGGAGTGAAAGTAAAAACGGTAAGTCACAGCACATCTGGATGTAAAAGCACGTTCAGTTTCTCTAATTTCAGGTTTATTTCAATTCAGTAACACAGTTCCATGAAATGAATGACTGTACAAGCATCGGGGCAATAATACATTAGTCTATATATGTTCTGTTCCCCTAGTTCTGGGGATAGGTCTCTGGTGGAGACATGCCATTTGAAGCTGGTGTCATTTGTTGTGCTATTTGCTGTCATGGTTCATTGCAACAATAATACATGCGAGTCAGGGCCTCTCAGACCAAAGTGTTAGTGACATTTGGAAATGGTTGTTTACGTGACTAACAAGCAGGAATAACATTTTCCTCACTCACACTCTGCAGCCACCCCAAAAACACACATTTCCAGGTAATGAAGCCTTCCTGTCCTGTAGCTTGTGTTTTTACTCTCTCTTTCTTTCTCTTTCCCCTTGTAGTGAAATATGGCCTATAGCTCCCAATTTAACGCTTGCTTTCATTCCTGCCAGCCAGGAATGCACCTCGTCTGCTCCTGCCCCTGCTGCAAAGTTAAGGAGAAGTATCAAATGAGTGACACATTTGCAGTTTTTATAGAAAGTGCTGGCGGGGGTGGAAGTTCACTACAACAACACCAGGGCTGAGGGGAAAGAGATACATGTAAACACAAAAAACCTAACTGCAGAAGCATTGTTGTGAGATGTAATTTCACATTGAAACATTTGCTGCATTATCTATCCATGGCACGTCATTTGTCAGATGACTGACATAACATAATTCCTGATATTGTTTTATTTCATAAACTAAGCATAGAAAATAGATTTATTGCAAAAGTGTATCATGATAAATCCTCCCAGAGGGACCTACGATATGCAGGCATGTATCGTGTATTACACATAAAAACAGGTACACACTAGATTCATTTCAGAAAAATGAAGACATTCACAAACATGGGAGATATGATGCTACCTGCTGTTAGTGGCTGTAGTCGCAGGCCCCTCTCAAAGCCTGTCTCGGATTAGATTAGGCCTTGGATCAAAGTAATAAAGTAGCCAGAGAGAGCTGCAGTGATTGAACAGGATCCAGGCCAGTATTGTCCCTCTTAACATGCTGTAATTATGTTGTCGGGCTCTGTTTCCCTGAATGAGAACCAGGGGCGGCTGTCAGCCTGCCCTTGTAACATGTCCCTTCACTTCACCGTTCTGCAGCCATCCTCTCCAGACATGACACAGAGCATGGCTCTACTGCCAGGACAGACCAGGGCTGTGCATTCATCCACCTCTGGCCTGCTGGCCCCCCTACCTCTGCGGAAGCACAGTTCCCGCTCAGCCCAGTCAAAACTGTTTGCTGCTCTGGCACCCCAATGGTGGAACAAGTTCCCTCACGACGCCAGGACAGCGGAGTCACTCACCACCTTCCGGAGACACTTGAAACCCCACCTCTTTAAGGAATACCTGGGATAGGATAAAGTAATCCTTCTACCCCCCCTTACCCCACCCCCCAAAAAAATAAATAATAATAATATTTTAAAGTGTTTATCCCACTGGCTATAAGGTGAATGCACCAATTTGTAAGTCGCTTTGGATAAGAGCGTCTGCTAAATAATGTAAATGAGAGGGGGAGGAAGTGATAGAAGAACGAGGAGGAGAGAGTTGCAGAGGGAGAGAGGGGCGCAGAGAGATTGAAAGACCGGGAGAGGGTGGTAGTAGTGTGGAAAAGGTAGATCAAGACGTTAAGCTGGGAGAGAGAGAAAGAGGGCTGCACTGTCCCTGTTTGCATGGGACATGGAGAATGATCATCCTCACGGAGTCCAAATTAACACTGTCCAGTTAGGCTGCAGGGAATTGATAACAAACAACCAACTTATATCTCTCCCTCTGTTTTTCCATCAATCTCTCTCCATTTTCTCTTTCTTCATTTGCCATCTGCCAGCGCTTTGCTTCATTTTCAGTATAGCTTAGAATTAGAACCCACAGTTTCTCTGAGTTGTAATGGTACAGTATCTCTCCGTCTCTGCCTGTCTGTCTGTGTCTGAGGTCAGTCTGTGATGTGAAGGCAGTAGACTGACTCTGTGGACCGACTCTCTCCCTACTGACCAGGTGATGGTGGCTGAAGCCCTGGACATCACCAGGGAAACCTACTTTGCCATCCTGATGGACCGGGCCTGCAACGGGCCTGTCATGGTGGGCAGTCCTCAGGGTGGGATGGACATAGAGGAGGTGGCTGACAAAACCCCAGAGCTCATATTTAAGGTACAGTTCTGTGAGCTCTGCAACAGCATATGTTACAAATGACTACAGATGTTAACATGGAACCTCTCACCATTCACTGGCAGCGTTCTCGCTCTCTCCTCTCTCCCTCCCCTGATTGGTACAATGAATCCCTTGATCCCTCTTACCTTGTGGAGATCGAGAGAGCCCTTCTCTATGTGAGAATCTCATCTTTACAAGTGCCTGATAATTATAATGCCATCATTACAGGCCTGTGTTTCCTTTTCTCACATCTGGCAGGTTGCCACCACTTAATTGCAGCTTCCGTGATTTAATATGAATATCCACTTTTTGTCATATTAGCATGCAGTGTTTTTGAGTCTCCATTCTCTCTCTGGCTGTCTGTCTCTCTCTCTCTCTTGCTCTCTCTCTGTCCCTCTGTCTGGCTGTCTGTCACTCTCTCTGTCCCTCTCTGTCTGTCTCTCTCTCTCGCTCTCTCTCTCTTTCTTTTGCTCTCTGTCCCTCTCGGTCTCTCTCTCTCTGTCTGTCCCTCCCGGTCTCTCTCTCTCTCTGTCCCTCTCGGTCTCTCTCTCTCTCTGTCCCTCTCGGTCTGTCTCTCTCTCTGTCCCTCTCGGTCTGTCTCTCTCTCTGTCCCTCTCGGTCTGTCTCTCTCTCTGTCCCTCTCGGTCTGTCTCTCTCTGTACCTCTCGGTCTCTCTCTCTCTCCCTTCCGGTCTCTGTCTGTCTGTCTCTTTCTCTGTCCGTCCCTTTCGGTCTCTCTCTCTCTCTGTCTGTCCCTTTCTGTCTCTCTCTCTGTCTGTCTCTTTCTCTGTCCCTCTCTCTCTCTCTCTCTCTCTCTCTCTCTCTCTCTCCTCTCTCTCTCTCTCTCCTCTCTCTCTCTCTCTCTCTATCTCTTGTTCTCTCTCTCTCTCTGCTACCACAGGAAGTCATTGATATTTTCGAGGGGGTGCGAGACGACCAGGCGCTCCGCATGGCAGCTAATTTGGGTTTCAAAGGACCTCTGGAGAGACAGGTGACGGGCCCGGCGAAGCTCTCTGAGCCGCAGTGCAGAGAAGCAGAATAGCGCACACACACTGAAGACCCACAGTACAGAACTCGAGCTGTTGAAACTCGATAGGACACTGCCAGTCTACTGGGCTCTCTATGCTGGGTTAAACAGTTTATAGAACTCCATTCGTACTTATACAACAGACAAAGCTTTATAGGTTTACCATTATAGCACATTACATTTTTTGGAGTCCTCTCAAAATCATGAACAGACAGTGCTACTGTAGCCAGTTCTGGCCAGTATAAACTCAAAAAATTCAGATTTGATATTAGATGTTATTCTCCGGTTCATTTTAGAGCCAATTGTCCTGTAGCATTATATTGCCAATTTGTATTCCTATCCGTGAGCAGAGCAGCATAAAGAATTGGATTAGTTCAATGTTAAAATGCGGAAAAAGTATAAATCAACTTAATGAATAATCTTTTGAAAAATGAAATGAACATACACAGTTGTCTGAGAGGTACACCCTGTGTGACTCCCGAGTGGCGCAGTGGTCTAAGGCACTGCAGCTGTGCCACTAGAGATCCTGGTTCGAATCCAGGCTATGTCGTAGCCGGCCGCGACCGGGAGACCCATGGGGCGGCGCACAATTGGCCCAGCGTCGTCCAGGGTAGGGAGGGAATGGCCGGCAGGGATGTAGCTCAGTTGTGGGTTCGATTCCCACGGGGGGCCAGTATGAAAAAATAAAAAAATAATGTATGCACTCACTAACTGTAAGTCGCTCTGGATAAGAGCGTCTGCTAAATGACTAAAATGTAATGTAATACTAGCCTGTTTTGGTATTGAATGGCCATTGATTTTAACAGGAAATGATTCGATAAATGTTTTGCTTGTCAGTTTAGTTCTGAAACTGTGTCTTCTAAAACACAGGTGTGGAATGGAACCTTCGTTGAAATAACTTTGCTGCTTTGAAGAGCCTTGAGATTATAAAAAGTGTGTGTGTGCGTGTTTGCGGATGTGTGTTTGTGAGTGTGTGGCAGAGAGTAGTGCTTACATCATTTTCTGTCAGGCTGTTTTCGTAATCAAAAGAGCAGCTCGGTGCCAGGGACAGACAGAGACATCAGTTGAACCCCGGATTCTTGAAAAGAGGATTTATTACAATGACAGTCACTCCAATAGCAATACTGCGCCTGTTAGGATAATGTGGCACAATAGACATGTTGTAATCTCACTCATCGCTAATACATTAATATGCCACAGAAAGGCTGTATTATAGTAGTTTCATTACTGTTTTATTAGGGTATATAGGCTTAGTCATACATGTCATGTGTTCAATTATATAGCATTTATAAGTATATAGTATGACATACAGTGTACGAAACATTAGGCTATTTCCATGACATGATGGTGAATCCAGGTGAAAGCTATGATCCCTTATTGATGTCACTTGTTAAATCCAATTCAATCAGTGTAAATGAAGGGGAGGAGACAGTTTAAAGAAGGATTTTTAAGCCTTGAGACATGGATTGTGTATGTGTGCCATTCAGAAGAAGTGCCTTTGAACGGGGTATGGTAGTAGTTGCTATGCGTACCGGTTTGAGTGTGTCAAGAACTGCAATGCTGCTGGGTTTCCCGTGTGTATCAAGAATGGTCTACCACCCAAAGGACATCCAGCGAACTTGACACAACTGTGAGAAGCATTGGAGTCAACATGGGCCAGCATCCCTGTGGAACGCTTTCGACACCTTGTAGAGTCCATACCCCGACGAATTGAGGCTGTTCTGAGGGAAAAGGGGTGTTTAACTCCATATCAGGAAGATGTCCCTAATGTTTTGTACACTGTGTATAGCCTGTGTTTTGTACAGTATGAGCTAAAGGCTTATTGAGTCGTGTTAGTTAGAAAATTGGTTGTCAGAAGCCCTGAAAAAGGTGGTCAGTGTTTATTTTTTTTCAACACCAGCACGCACATGCATGTGCGCACACGTGCAAAAACACATGTGCACACGCACATGCACATACATTCTCTGTGTGTGTTGAAGGCGATTTGACATGTTTTATTTATTTTGTGCTGCTGAGTGGCCTTGGCGGGCCTGCTGCTAAGAGGCGTCTTGTTGGGTAATAACTGTCTTCTGTGGAACTCACAGGCAGCAAATCAGATTAAGAGGCTCTATGATCTGTTCCTGAAAGTCGACGCCACTCAAGTTGAAGTCAATCCTTTCGGTGAGACTCCCGAAGGACAAGGTACGACTCTTTCTTTCTTTCTCTTTTTGCTGTCTACATATTAGAAGGTCTGTTTATCTGGGTCTGTCTGTATTTGTCTTCTCTCTTTTCCTCTCTTCCTCTCTTCCTCTCTTCTCTCGCTCTCTCTCTCTCTCGTACATCATGGGAGTGTTCTTGATGGGATTTTAGGTATACCGTATTTTCCGCACTATAAGGCGCACCGGAGTATAAGCCGCAGCAGCTAAATTGAATGATATTGAATGATGTGTACATATATAAGCCGCACTGGACTATAAGCCGCAGGTGTTTTAATGTTTAATTACCATATGTAAGGGTTTGTGCACAGAGGGGATTGTCGGGAAAGAGACAAACTGTCTCGCTCTCGTAATGTCTGTCTGTCTTGTTCTCGTTCTGTCTCTCGTACCACTCTCGGTTCCACTTTTACTTTTGCGCGCTACCTGTCTCACTCTTTTCCGGCCTCCAGCTTTTCCTGCTGGAGCCCGCCGCTTAAAGGTGGGGGGCGCGGACCGGTCATAGAGCCCATAGAGTTAAAGTTGGTGGACTGTAACCTGTAAAATCCATAGATTTAGGAGGTCTTCTAGTGGCCGTTAGCTGTAAAAATCCATAGATTAGCTGCACCGTTATATAAGCCGCAGGGTCGAAAAATGGGAAAAAAGGCGCGGCTTATAGTCCGAAGATTACGGTATATTGGAGCATATCCATCACTAATTGCCTCTTGAGGAACAATCATACAGATAAACTCATTGTTATGAAACAAGATCTTGTTATAGGTCCGGTTCATCAAAGAGTGACAATAAAATAAAATATTGTAGCCTAGTCTAATCATTGCTTATGAATATTGATGAGAGGTCTATTATTTTGTTGTGTTCAACCAAGCTGTACTGAGAGGTGCAACTCTGCCATCCAACAAGCATGGCAGAAACTCGTGTTTCTGTAGACTCACATTGAAAGTAGCTCAACTTGTTATTTAATTTGTACATATTCAACGAGGGAAGAGAATGAACTACCCAGGATGCATGTTCAGTAGAGTTTAAACAGCACACCACAGGGTACTGAAGAACATCACTGTAGGCAGAAAAGTTACGGCATGTTTTATCCCACTTTAGTCTCTTACTTTGACTTTCATTTCAATGTAACTGAACCCTCATCACCAAAGGGACGGTAAGACTAAATGACTGTAAACTCTGAAAATGAAAGTCATTGTACTCCAGTTGGTCACATACAGCAGCTCCAGGAGACAGCCAACACTCCACTTAGCTGCAGTAGAAGTGGTTTCCCATACATTTTTGTTCTGCCTAGTGTGTGTTTTTGTGTGTGTCATGTTGCCTTTATTACACTTGGGAGCTTCAGCCCAGGTAGTATTTCACAGAGACAAGCCATTACATAGTGAATTCACAGTTGAATCCATGGGGATCCTGTGTACCACTACTGACATTTGTCCTCCAGGCTGTTATAGAGTATTGATAGATGAATGCTCCAATCACCCCTGTGTAAATGCTTATGGTATGTAGTGGGCCTTACAAAGTACAAATCCATAAGGAGCGCATTTCAGCCCTGCAGTAAATACTTAGCCTGCAGGTAACATTCAGCTTGCAGTTTCTTTGAACTGCACCTTGTGAAGTGTAAAAGTATTGTCCATTATGCATAATATATTCCCCCTTAGAGGCCCTGTCAAATGCATAAACATGAGCTGCACCATTACAAATACTGAATTAATTAATTCTAATAGGGTGAGATCACTTGCCACATTTGATTTAACATATTTCATTGCGTTTGTTATAAATGATTACATTTCCATTTCACATCCTCCTTTTGTTTCTCTACATCTCTTCCTCTTTTCTACTTTGTCTAGTTCCTCCTTCATCTCTTTATTTTTCTGTCCCGCTTCTCTTCATCTCTCTCTCTCTGGCTTCTTTCAGTGGTGTGCTTTGATGCCAAGATCAACTTTGACGATAACGCTGAGTTCCGTCAGAAAGCCGTCTTTGCCATGGACGACATGTCAGAGAGCGATCCAACAGAGACCGAGGCAGCCAAATGGGACCTCAAGTACATCGGCTTGGATGGAAACATCGCCTGCTTTGGTGAGTTCTGATTATGACTGTCCACACACATACATGTTCTATTCATTCAGCCATGTGTAACCCACCCCAACTGGAATGGAGTTTTTCTCTTCCTTATCAGATAATTGAAGGCTGGGAGACTACGTTCAAACTTTCTCAAACTACAGTAAAGCTGACTGGGCTCCTCTCCAGTCCAAATTAACCGCCAGCTTTCTAACGACTCCAGAAGGAGGCTGCCATAACCAATGCTTTCTAATTATCCATAATCCACCCAAAAAGTCTCCAGTGAGCTGGATTGTTAGCGTTCTCATTATAGTCCTCCCCTGTCATAAATCAAAGCTTTACAGTGTAATTCTGGGCTGCTGGGGAGTCTCTTCTGGCTGCCCTGCAGGCTCATACACATTGTGGCAGTAAGAGCACAGGTTAGAGCCTCTTTCCCCTGCCCAGCCTCTCCTACAGAACAACTATTTCCCCTGCCCAGCCTCTCCTACAGAACAACTCTTTCCCCTGCCCAGCCTCTCCTACAGAACAACTCTTTCCCCTGCCCAGCCTCTCCTACAGAACAACTCTTTCCCCTGCCCAGCCTCTCCTACAGAACAACTCTTTCCCCTGCCCAGCCTCTCCTACAGAACAACTCTTTCCCCTGCCCAGCCTCTCCTACAGAACAACTCTTTCCCCTGCCCAGCCTCTCCTACAGAACGACAGCTCAGAGCTGATGGGCTCCTTAAACGCTTTTTAACCCACCAAAGTGACAGCTGTTAAAGCCACTTTCCTTTTATTGAGACTTCTGTCAGGGAACTTGCCAGGACGTAGGCTCAGCACTGCTAAACCAAATGAGGTAAGACGTTTGTAGAGAGGCGTGTTGGCTTTGGAAGGAAGCGACTGAATCACTTGGCTCCCTTGCAGCAAAGCACCAAGCAGCCCAGCGGGATAGGGATATGCTCGCTAGGCTGCCTGATAATGCGGCCCAACCCCAGTACCACAGAACCTCGTTTAATCAATGCTCACTTTCTGAAGTCAAGAGAGTTGCTGTAATCACATTTCCCTCCGCTTCTCAACTTCTTAAAGTGTTAAATATCCCGATTAGAAGTTTTAACAGTTTACCTCTTAAAGCTTTAAATCCTTTTGTTATTCCCTCTTTATTAGATCATTTATTCATTGATTTCACTGTGAGCCCTTTCATGTTTGTGTTGTTTTAATACTGGTATTAGGTCATGTTTAATTGAATTAAATCCCAACTACTTGTCACTGTTTTCTCTCAAGGATTTTCATTTCAATTCTCATCTTCATTAGGAATCTAATGGGGGAAATCCAACCTCATTAGAGTATGGGCAAGAAACCATTATCAGCGTTCCAGTATCATCAATTGTCATCAACATTGTGATGAGCACAGTGACTATTTTGAAGGGATGCTCTGGACTTCAGAGGCCCTTCTCTGTTTTATGAGACCAGTAACAGTTCTCAGCTTTCTCTGTGGTTGAGTTTCACCTTTGACCTGTCATTACAGTGAATGGGGCTGGTCTGGCTATGGCCACGTGTGACATCATCGACCTCCATGGAGGGAAGCCGGCCAACTTCCTGGACCTAGGAGGAGGGGTGAAGGAGAAGCAGGTGTACGAGGCATTCAAACTACTCACTGCTGACCCGAAGGTAGGAGACAACTTTATCCAACACCACATGGTGTGCGAGTTCTGTGGAGAGGAGTTATACCATCTAAAGATAGAGAACATATCTGATTCACTATGCTACAGTAGCTAGTTCCATGTCAAACTGTCAGTTGGTCTCAGAGAGCCAACACACTGTTCCCAACCACCTGTTGAATTCCCTATTTATCCCAGCTGCTCAACACTTTACCCTAGCGATTCTGTAAATCTTTGTTGCTGCTACTTTGTGTGATTGTTTAACCAGGAGTCATGTTATAGCTTCTCCTTAAGGCCTTGTCTAGTTGGTTAGGCACCATTCCACCTCTGTAACAAAGACACAACAGTTTAGTGGGTTTGGCACCGACAGCCATGTTTCTCCCAGAGATGGGGTATTAGAGATCTCCTAATTATAATGCCATGGTTTTATTGACAGTTTTGTAATGAATTGCAGCCCCGCAGCCACAATAAAACCAGCCTTTTAATGGCTTGTCCCTGCCGTCACAGTCTTCTCCCAATGCACAACGCGAACTCGTTACTGTACTTCCCTGGTGCAATTAAAGGTCCGGAACCTCAGAGGAGAGGATGTGGCAGCTTGGCTCTCTTTACGACTGTGGAATACTAAATGTTCAGATTGCCAATAATTCAGCAGCGATCAGTTGGAGGCTTGTAACAATGCCGCAGTGCTAGTTGTGTGTTGACACTCATCAGAGCACTAATTCCCTGTTTGCTTTTACTTCAAATGATTGTTTTTCTCCCAGTCTATTTGACAATGGTTGTGTCTTGGTATGTGTCATAGAACAGTGTTAGATACTGGTTCCTTCTATCCACTGGTGAACAGGCCAGTTTACCACACATTTTTAATAAATTAAAGATGGACATTGAGAACGAAGGCCATAGAGGCATGATGTGGAATAATATATGCACAAATATGGCATGATACTCATTGCAATACACAAGTCACTTGAATGACATTACTTTGCTTCACTTCAGTTTCATGTAGTTGCTTTAATAGTTGACTATGTCAAATCACATTTTATTTGTCACATGCGCCGAATACAATGGGTTTAGACTTAACTGGAAAATGCTTGCTTACGAGCCCTTCCCAACAATGCAGAGTAAAATATAATAATACAAAAAAAGAATAGTAACACAACAGGAATAAAATACACAAGAATGAAGCTATTATGCCAGTACCAGATCAATGTGTAGGGGTACAAGGTATTTGAGGTAGATGTATATAAAGGCAGGGTAAAGTGACTAGGCATCAGGATATATTATAATAAAGAGGAAGAATAAAAAGCACAGTAGCAGTAGCATATGATGAGTGTGAAAGTGTGTTTATGTGTGTTGTGTTCGTATCCATGTGCGTGTCGTGTGTGCATATGTAGTGTATGTGAATGTGTGTTGGTTTTGTGTGAGTGTCAGTATAGTGTGTGTGTATATAGTGTGTATATATAATCTTGTGAGTGTGCATAGAGTCAATGCAAGATAGGGTCAATGCAGATAGTCCGGGTAACCATTTAATGAACTATTTAGCAGTCTTATGGCTTGGGGGTAGAAGCTGTCTCTGAGCCTGTTGGTCCGAGAGCCGACGCTACGGTGCTGTTTGCCGTACTGTAGCAGAGTGAACAGTCAATGGCTTGGGTGGCTGAAGTCTTTGGCAATTTTCTTTGACACCGCCTGATATAGAGGTCCTGGATGGCAGGGGGCTCGGCCCCAGTCATGTACTGGGCCGTCCGCACCACCCTCTGTAGCGCTTTGCGGTCGAGGGCGGTGCATTTGCCATACCAATCGGTGATGCAGCCAGTCAAGGTGCTCTCAATGGTGCAGTTGTATAACTTTTTGAGGATCCGAGGGTCCATGCCGTGCCCTCTTCACGACTGTGCGGTGTGTGGACTATGTTAAGTTCTTAGTGATGTGGACGCAAAGGAACTTGAAGCTCTTGACCCGCTCCACTACAGCCCAGTCGATGTGGATGGGGGGTGCTCTCCCCTCTTTCTCCTGCAGTCCATGATCAGCTCCTTGGTCTTACTGACATTCAGGGAGAGGTTGTTGTCCTGGCACCAGACTGCCAAGTCTCTGACCTATCTGTAGGCTGTCTAATCGCCGTCGGTGATCAGGTTTACCACCGTCGTGTCGTCAGCAAACTTGATGGTGTTGGAGTCGTGCGTGGCGACGCAGTCGTGGGTGAACAGGGAGTACAGAAGGGGACTAAGCACCCAACCCTGAGGGGCCCCCGTGTTGAGGGTCAGCATGGCAGAGGTGTTGTTGCCTACCCTCACCATCTAGGGCCGGCCCGTCAGAAAGTCCAGGATCCAGTTACATTGGAGGTGTTCAAGCCCAGGGTCCCCAGTTTGGTGATGAGCTTGGAGAGGACTACGGTGTTGAACACTGAGCTTTAGTCTATGAACAGCATTCTAACATTAGTTATTTCACCTCTTGTCCAGGTGGGAGAGGGCAATGTGAATTGAGATTGCATCATCTGTAGATCTGTTGGGGTGGTATGCGAATTGGAGTTGGTCGAGGGTGTCTGGGATGATGGTGTTGATGTGAGCCATGACCAGCCATGTCTCATATATCTATAGGCTATATCAGAGGCTAGCCTATATCAGTCTCTTATTTTTGAGTCGGCGACTGAGTGCACCAATCACGTACACATACCAGAGATTAATTTTTAAAAGGTGCTAGTAAAACTCTCCAGCTGACAATGTATTGTCCCACTCAAATGTCCACAGTGTATATATTATTTTTGGCCCTGCATGAAATCATCAAGGTGTCCTAAAATCACAATAAAATAACAGGAGAGAAAATAGAGGTGGAAGTGTTTCTCACTCCTCTGAGGCAGTGTGATCAAATTCTTACATTACAATGTCAAACGAGGTCATAATAGAGATCAATTTGTGGGGGAAACCAAGCCAGCTTTTAAAGACAGCATTAGACTTCACAATTATTCCTGCATAGGAAGTAGTCTTCTCTTTATCCTGGCTTGAATTCGAAGCCCAAACCCTAGAGTAAAGGCAGTAGCTACCTGTCCCTCCTCCAGCAGTATAGAGGCGAGAACGACACAGGCCCTCCCTTATGGGGGAGAAACGAGAGCGGATTGACATTAAACCTCTGTGTACCGCCATTTGCATTTCATACAGGGATTTGGAGACTCATCAGATCTGTGGAGGGAATGTTAATTATTACATTCTTGGCATGATCCAAATCCTCATTTACATTTTTCTTTTAATAAATTCCTAACTTTGAAACACTAAGATTTTCTGTTTCTCGGTTCCATTTAGGCCTAGGCTGTGAACAACTTGAGACAGAGAGGCTATTGAGTGAGAATCAATAGCTGGGAATGCCAAAGATACGCACTTGTTAAATGTTGAAATGTGTCGAACTGAATAAGGTACTTGAAAGCATTTCAAGGGTTTGTCATGACAAATACATAATATGCATGCTTACAATTATACTGTATACTCATTTTCACTAGTGCAGCAGTTTTATACATTTACTGCAGCCTACTACAGCATATATCCAGGGAAGCTGATGATATTCTGCATAAGTGAATATATTCTACCCTTGTTAGCACAGCCTTATTTTAGCTGCTAGGTTCCTCATAGCCACTAACAATTCATATGGTTACGCATAGTATAGCTGGTGTCAATTGGTACATTTCAAAAAGGTAACATTTAAACACCATTACCATGCAGGATCATTTATAAATACCAGGTAAATAGCGAATGGTAAAATGAAGCATAACCCGGCTCATTCTCTTATCTGGGAGATGGCAAACACTGGATAGCGTGTCCGTCCACTGCTCGCTCTCTCTTTTCTCTCTGTCAGCTCTCTCTTTCTGCTTTGATCTCTTCAGCTCATTCTATTCCAACTGGAAGATGCAGCTGGAGTGTACAGCTTCAGCTAGAACAGATTAAGCCTTTTTTGTGTGTTTTTTCCTTTTTTGCAGTTGGAGTACAGCATTCATTAGGTAAATTATAAAGAGGGAAAGAGAGAGAGCATATAAGGCAGTCATACTCAAATGGCGGACAGCGGTCCGTGTCCGGGCCCAGCAAAAGGTCAATACGGACCGAACAGCACCAAACGATATCGAAGTCAGTAAATTAATTTCAGACAGCTTTCAAACATGATTGACCGGGCGCCGTTTCTCAAGTGCAGAGCAGCCTCTAGCAGTGGTGAAGAAAGACCAGCCTGGGGCCGCGTCATATCCAATCGTGGGCATTTATGAAGATGTGATTTCACAACTTGATGAAGCCATTCAGAATGCACCATGCATTTCTTTAGCTGTGGATGAATCAACAGATACCACCGATAATGCCCAGCTTCTGGTATTTGTGAGATTTTATAACAAAACAAAAAATGAATTCTGTGAGGGCCTGTTGGGTTTAACAACTCTTGAAGCGCACACACATGAGGAGAGGACATTCATGAGGCCATCAAAGGGATGCTGGCAAAAAGGGGGATAGATCTGAAGTCGGTGGTCTCCATCACCACAGATGGAGCTCCAGCCATGATAGAAAGAGGGAGGGGACTGGTTGCACGTTTGAAAGAGGACACCCTGATCTGACATCTTACCACTGCATCATCCACCAATCTGTGTGACAGTCTGGGAGAAGTGTATGCTGAGGTCATGACAACGATGATGAAACTGATAAACTTTTTGAGAGCATCATCATCCCTACAGCATTGTCTGCTAAGAGGCTTTCTGACAGAGGTTAATGCCAACTATGATGACTTACTACTGCACAACAATGTCAGATGGCTCAGCAAAGGCAGGGTTTTGGAGCGCTTTTGGGCCATTCGGGAGGAGATCAAATATTTCCTATCAGAGCAAAAGATAGGAAATATTCGGGAGGAGAAAATACAAACAGCTGCATTTTTGGCAGACAATGAGCTCAATGTTAAGCTGCAGGGACAGAACAACACAGTGTGTGATTTGATAACATCAGTCTGGGCTTTCCAGAGGAAATTTGACATTTTCAAGACTGATCTCCAGGGAGAACTTGTCCACTTCCCCAAACCTTTGGAGCAAACCGAGGGAGAGAAAGATGTGCCCCACCATGGTGATTTCATACAGAAGCTGATGGATAACTTCAAGGCTTACTTTGA